TTATTTACATGTTTTCTCATTTTGACTGGGGAGGGGTAGTTGGGGTGCTATTGGCACCCATGAGGATCACCTCCTCTGAGCTGGAAGAGGTGGAACAGGGGCTGGAAGTGGCGGTAGGGATGGTGGCCCAAAAGCCCCTTCCTCTGGGCCGGGAGCAGTGGGACAGAAGACAGCCCAAAAGCCCTTTCCTCTGGGCTAGGAACAGCGGGAGGGATGGTGGCTAGGAAGCCCCTTCCTCTGGACCAGGAGCAGTGGGACGGCGGTTCAGAAGCCCCTATCTCTGGGCTGGGAGCGGCGGGACCCAGCTCTGTGGTCTGGTGGTTCGGTGTCCTCTGCATCTTTGTAGTGTGGAACCAGGTGGCTGTACAGAGGAGCAGGGCAGGGGGTGTCCAGTGGATTGCTGCCAGGGCGCGGGCTGATTTGGCGTGTTCTGTGCTACTCCGTCACATGTGTACTTGAACATGATTTGATCAGAACTCAGTGCGACAAATTATTGTTAATGTTTTTGAACTTTTGGAGTCACTAAAGTTTGTCTTTAAAAGCATGTATAGAACTTACTTTGAAATGCACCAAGGTATAAAATGATGTATGAACAGGTATGTGGTAAGGAAAATGCAGCACAATGTTGACTGCAGAATCTAGTTGTGGGTACATACTCCTTTAAATTTGTCTGCATCTTTGACATTTTCACAATAAAATGTTAGGGGAAAACATGTACAGGGTCCTGATCACATAGCCAAGCTATAATCTTAATACTGTACCTTTAGAAATCTTCCCTTATATTCTAACTAAATATATGAAAAAATGCAGTCACTGAAAAAGAAAGTACCAAGTAATACCTGCTATCTCAGTGACTGACTCTTGGCACTTTAAACCATATGGAAGGATTCCTTGGATAGGAGTTCTAGAAGCCCACATTAAAAACAGTAATAATAGAAGTACAAATGTGTGTCCACTGTATGTCAGGCACCATTAATGCATTGAACCATCACAAGCCCATTTTATAGATGAGAAAGCTGAGACACATAGAGAGAATAAGTAAAGCACCCAAGGTCACAGAGCTAGTATGAGTGGTGGGTTAGGAATGTTGAACATGAATACTGGGTATATCTGACAGCTGCATCCAATGGGAGATGGACAGCAATCATTAGTGGAATTCACTTTGTTGTTGGCGTGTTCTAGTTTTGTTTGTTCCCTGAGTCATTTAAGAAGTTTGGTGATCAGATCCAAGCTCTTTTATGCAAGAGATCACTGTTAGAAAACATAGACTTACAAAGTAACAACTTGTCATTGTGATCGCTGTCAAGCTAACCTGCCCCCTCCTATCTCTGCGGACCTCTCCCTGTGGACCTAACCTATGGTTATTTCATTCATTCTGAATCTGATATTGTTGAATAATTAAGAGGACTGCATTTTTCTAACCAAATTTTTTCTGAAAACCTTGCCTAGGGAAAGCAGAGAGAATGAAAGCCTATCTCAAGAGCACAGAAGGCTTCTTTGTCCTAAATAAAAGCACCACGATTGGAAAGCATGAGGATTCTGACCTGGTTTTGCAGGTAAGAACTCTTCCCAGCTGCTCCGCACCCTCCCCAGGCCCTGCACCCTCCAGCAGCCCTGGTATTAAGTGGACTGAATCTCTCAAAGCACAACTCCACACCCACATCTTCTATCGTTCTACCAACAGTCATTTGTCAAAACCACTGCCTTTCCTTAGTAAGCAGTAGGTGGAGCTCCACGCAGAGTGTGAGGTGCCCTCTGCCCTCTGCTCTTGTCCCCTCCCCACCAGCGAGGCCGATCACCACCTCTATGGAATAGGCCCCTCACCCTTTTCAAAGCCTCTCAGGATTTTTCTGGGTCCTGGGAGCCATGCAGTGCAGCCCTGGGCTCAGCCCCAGCTTCTTTCTATTTCATTTCATTTTTGGATTTAGCTGTGGTTTGGTCCAAAGCCTCAGCTCATTGACAGCCAAAGAAGCTAGGAAGAAAGGACAGAATAATAAAAACAGTGCCTTTGCTCTTTTTAAAATACTGAAGTGAGTTAAAGTGTTAATGTGGAAAGAGAAATGCAGTGAGTGGAATCTCTTGACTATGAAAAAAAGTTTTGCTTAGACCTCACTCAACAGGCTTTTTAACATTTTTAAAAGATTTTTGAAAAAATTACAGATTCACAAGAAGTTCCAAAAATAGTAGAAGAAGAATATGTATTTGCTTCCCCGAATCCTTATATGTTTTCTGACTATAACAGTAGAAACACTAGGAAATTGATTTGGATGCACTCTTTGTGTGTGTGTGTGTGTGTGTGTGTGTGTGTGTGTGTGTGTGTGTTCTGTGTCATTTTGTCATGTGTGTTGTGTCATGGGCAGCAATTGAGATACAGTACTGTTCCATCACCAGAGATCTCCCTATTCTCCATCCTGTCATTTTGCCATTTGAAAATGTTACATGAATAAAATCATACAGCATATGACATTTTTTTTCTTTTGTACCTGGGATTGAACGCCAGACCTTGCGCTTGCGAGGCAGGCACCGGAACCACTGAGCTAAATCCCCGGCCCAGGATATGACCTTTCTGATATTGGAGGTTTTGTTTTTCTTTCACTGAGTCCTGGATATCCATTTAGAATGTTAGCATATTCCTTTTTATTGTTGTGTAGTATTCCATGGTATGGATGTACCAATGTTTCTTTATCCAATCACGCATCAAAGGACATTTTGATTATTTCCAGTTTGAGGTTACTATGGGTAAATCTGCTATAAATAGTTCCATATAGGATTTTGACTGAATATAAAATTTCATTTCTCTGGGATAAGTGTCTGGAGTGTGATGGCTGGATTATATGGTACGTGTGGGCTTGAAGAAAATCCAAGACCATTACCATCATGGTGGCTGTACCATCTTAAATTACCATCAGCAAGGTATGGGGTACAGTTTCTCTGCATCCTCCCTAGCAGTGAGTGTTGTTGGTGTTCTAGTTAGCATGTAGTACTGTTTTATCCAGGTTTTAATTTGCATTTCCCTAATGGCTAATGATGTTGAACAACTGTTCTTGTGCTTTTTGCCTTTTTGCATATCCTCTTTGCTGAAGTCTTTTCTTGTCTCAGGCCCATATTTTAGTCAGAGTTTTGAGTCTTTTACTATTGAGTCTTGGACCAGGGATTTAGCTCAGTGGCACTACACCTGCCTCGCAAGTGCAAGGTCCTGAGTTCGATCCCCAGTACCAAACAAACAAAAAAACAAACTATTGAGTCTTGAGAATTCCTTATATATTATAGATCTGAGCTCTTTGTCAGATATATGACTTGCAAATATTTTCTCCCAGTCTGTAGCTTGTCTTCATCTTCTTAACTGAGTCTGTCACAGAACACAAGCTTTAATTTTGGGTGATATTTTACTAGGTTGCCTTACAGTCTAGTTTATCACTTTTTTCTCTGGGTGATGCATTTGATGTCCTATCTGTGAACACTTCACCAAGTCCTTGGCCCTGAAGATTTTCTCCTATGTGTTCTTCTAATAGTTTTATAACTTTATGTTTTATAGTTAACTCTGTGGAGCACTTTGAGTTAATTTTGTAAACAATATGAGGTTTAGGTCAAGGATCATTTTTATGGCTATAGATACCCAAGTTATTCCAGCACTATTTCTTGGAAAGACCACTATTCCTCCATTGAATTGCTTTGGCACTTTTCAAAAACTTTTTGCTTTTGCACTTTTGTCAAAAATCATTTGGCCAAGGGCTGAGGGTTTAGCTCAGTGGTTTCACTGGCTGCCTCACAAGCGCAAGGTCCCAAGTTCGATACCCAGTACAAAAAAAAAATCATTTGGCCATACTTATGTTCCTACACAAGTATGTTTTTGAGTCCTCTGTTGTTACACTTACCTCTCTATCTTTCTCCTACTATGAAGTAGACTTAACTAACATAACCATATATATATTGGCACCAGGGATCAAACTTGGGACCTTGTGCTTGCGAGGCAGGTGCCAGAACCACTGAGCTAAATCCCTGGCCCTAGACATATATTAGATAGAAGGATTCCTCCATTTTATTTTTCTTTTGCAAAATTGTTTTATTTATTTTAGTTTCTTTACCTTCCCACATTTTTTTAGAATAACTCTGTCTATATTTATAAAATATCTTTCTGGGATATGGGTAGGAATTGTTTTTAAAACTGTACATCAATGTGGGAAGAATTAATATCTTACTGTTTTGTCTTCCAATCCATGAACATGGTATGTTTTTCCATTTATATAGGTCTTCTTTAATTTCTTTCATTGAGGTTATGTATCTTTCAGCATACAAGACTCATATATTTTGTTAGACTTACACTTAAACATTTCTCTTATTTTGTTAGCTATGGTAAATAGTATTATACTTTTAATGTTGGTGTCCACCTATTCATTGCCAGTATATAGAAATAAAATATAGTTGTTTTTTATATGCTTACATGGTAACTTACAACCTTAATTAAACTTTCTAGAAGCCTTTTTGTAGCTCTCTTTGGATTTTATATATAAATAACCAAATTTTGCAAACAAGAACAGATTTATGTTTTCTTTTTTATCTGTATGTCTTTAACTTTCTCTTCATGCAATGGTGCATTGGCTAGGACTTCTAGTACTCTGTTGAGAAGGCATAGTGAAAGCAGTATAAATCTTATGTTTACCTTGTTCCTGATTTTGGAGAAAAACATTCAGTCTTCTGCCATTAAATATGATGTTAACTATAGGACTTTTGGAGATGCTCCTCATCAAATGGAGAAAGCTCCCCCATAGTCATAGTTTTTTGAGAGTGTTTATCAGAAATTCAAAAGATTTAAAAATAATTCAACATACCCTCCTGGGAGATTCTCATCCATGATACGGTCTCCCTACAAGGACACAAAATAACATATTCAGCACACAAAGCTAGAAAAACAAAGGAAAAGAATTGCAGTTTCTTCTTACCATAATAAGGGATTGATGAATTTTACTTCCTGTCTGGCCAAGGTGGAAACAGAATGTTTTGAACCTGACTATGCTGTTAGGAAACTGTAATAATTTTTAAAAGTAGTCTTTTGGGGTAGACAGATCTGGGCTTGCATCTCTTTAGGCCATTTTCTGGCTTTGTGACTTCAAGCAATCTACTTAATCACTCTGAGCTCATTTCCTCCATCTGGAAATCACTTACCTTTCAGGGTTGTTGTGGGGATTAAATGAGAAAATGCACGTAAAGTGCCTGGCACACAGTGCTAAGTAAATGACACTGTGATCATTATTATGGTCTCAGAAGATAAGACTGAGAGGAATTCTCTGGGGTACACAAGCTCAAGGCAGGTATCCATTGACGCTAACAAGCTGTTTGGAAAAGAGAACTAACAAGGATAATTATTATATAGACAGAAGTTGAGTTGCATTTATGGTATAAAAATAATTGCTTACTGTTCCTTGGCTTAAAAGGAAGTCAATTGTTCTAGGTGTTCCAGCACCACTTCTTGAAGCAACTGTCCATTGAATGGCTTTTGCACTTTAAGAAGGAAGCCATCGCTGTCAGCCATGGTCACTTTGATTAATGAAGGAATCAGTTGCATTTCCGGAAACACGAACTTCCCCTGGCTCCCAAGAGAGGATGACCCAGGGGTTGCCAAATGCTTTGTGAATAGACTTTCGATGGGATCTTATATCTTCTCTTAGACACGTCCTCTTCTCATGGTTTAAATGGAGCCAGGACAGTTTCGAAATGCTGAAATCTACATCCGTGGCAGCATTTTTCAGTTTCATAAGACAAGAAATGAAACCTGCCCCCTGCTGAGCTCATTGGGCCTTTCTAATTAACCTCAAAATCATGCTTGATTAGCTACCGGCCACCAACAAGCCATTGATTGTTTGTGCTATTTGTGCCACTGAAAATGATTCCACTATAAAGTTCAGAAGCCAAAATAAACAAGCAAAAACCTTGGAATTACCTACCAGTTACACTTAACAAATAAAAAAGGGTCACTTGTGTTATTTGCCCAGGTAAAATCCTAAAGAATAGGGATCTGTGTCTAAAACTTTATATTTGTTGGCAAGGCTCATATGTTGATATCATGACATCTTAACATCATTTACATTTGCTGATAAAGGAAGAAAGAAAATAAGTCACTTGTAATCCTATAACTTGGGGACAATCAAAATTGATTATGGTGGGGCTCACCCTTCAGACTTTTGTTCTGTAGCCCACAAGAGTTTGGTTTCCCCATCAACAATAGGAAGCCTGCTTTGGCCAGCCTAGTATTTGCTACTATCATCACTCATTCACTCTACTAGCATTTTCCTGAGCCTCAGTACTAAGAAAGCGATGGGTGGAATCAAGCATGGTCCCTGCAAGTGGGAAGCTACTAGGAGAGGGAGACATAGGGCCAGGATCCCAGAGGGGCAGGTATGGTTAAAGCCCAACACCAGGGCTCTAAAGGAAAGGAATATGGAGAATGGAGAGGGCTTAACTAGACAAAAGGGGAAGGAACTAAATGTGTAAAGTCCCTGGGGTAGAAGAACATATGGTGAGCCCAAGGGACTGCAAAAAAAGGTGTGTCTGAAAGTAA